TCCTGTCCTGGGCCTCTTCGTGGCCACTGGGGGGCCGAGAACAACTAGGAACGAGCACACTTGGAAGCGAGCACGATGAGAAAGGAACGACGTGTACTCGTATCCATTCGGATTGCGCATCCGTCTCCACACGCCCGCGGGGAGAAGGCCACGCAGGAGGCGCTCTGCGCGGGCCTGCAGGCCTCTTCCTCCGCCTGCGCGGGCGCCGCCCTCAGCCTCCCTCGCTCGCCCGCTGCAGGGCACTCCTGCCGTGAGCGCCCTGCGCGCGGGCCGCGCGGGCCTGTGCGCCTGGCTCCCCTTTTCCTGCACGCGGGGGGGGCTCTTCACTGCAAGCCCTTCCTGGCGCCCCTGCCGCGCTGGAGGTGCCCGAAGAGGGCGCTCCTCTCCAGGCGCGCCCTGGGAGCACCACCGTTCCTCGGCTCGGGTCCCAGATCATGGCGGGCGAGCATGCGTGCTGACCTCCAGCACGAGGCCGTGTCTCCCTCCCCGCGAGCAGCATGCAATTCACCAGCGTGCAAGCCCGTGCGCCTCGAGCGGTCTCTGCGCAAGAGTGGCCGAGCCTGCTTGTCTCGACGCCGGCATCGGACAATCACAGCAGCCAGGCGAGCATTGGGTTCGTAAGCTTCCCGGCAGGCCTGAGAGCTGCAGCACATGCGACCAAGAAGCTGCAGCGGTAACACATCGTGTATCCCTTGACCCTGATGCGAGGAAGCGGAAGCAAGCCCGAGGGGAGGGAGAGGGGGGAGCGGGTCAATGGGAATACTCCGAAGGCCGCGAAGCACGGCTCTATTTTTGATTATGCCCAGCATCGCCGAAGCCATGTCCAGCGGTCTGTCTTCTTGTTTTGTCGCTTTCTGAAAGCATTCGCGCGCAGCAGCATCCACCGCTGCATGCACTGTGTCATCCATCAGGTCCGCATTCTGCACAATTACTTCCTGGACACGTGGGCCAACATCTTCGAGCGCCTGCTCGACGCGATTCAGAACCTCCTCCGACTCCTGACCGAACCTCGCAGCCCTCGAGATCTTATCATGATTCCAGCACGCAGGCGCCTGCTCACACAATTCAAAGCTGGGTCCCACCGAAATGCGAAGGACGATTTGGTAGTGGTCCCGTCTTGTGCGGGTACTAATCATCTGCAACTTCTCTCCCGCCCGTCCCCAACTCTTACACGACTCGACGGCTGCTCGAATTACTGCAGGCGCGCACACATGGTCTATCCTCGACGCATGTTGCCCCGATTCATGATAATAGGTATGACCCGCCTCATAAAAAAACTGTGAAGTGCAGCTAGCAGGTTCATGATTTGGAGAAACACGCGTACGGCTACCATTGAAGTTCTTCTCCTCCCCCTCACAGGTGCCCACGTACTTTTTCTCCTGCTCTCCTCCTAGCATATCATTCGCGTCCATCATCAAAATTGGGATCGTTCTGGCCGGCAGCGTGTCCACTCATTTTTTTTATAGGTTTTTCCCGAGTAACTTACTTATCTTCTCCTGCGCACCTCTCTCCTTCGTCGTGCCGTGGGGCTCGGTCGGGGCGTAGCCCACAATGAACGTCATATTTATGATCTTCCCTCTACATCGCACAGCGCCTGGCCTGCCTTCCTCGCCTTTCGGGGTCATCACGTGGCGCATGGTGTGGCTGGGGAAGGTCTTGGAGCTCACCAGCAGCGCGATGCTTGTCGGGCGGCCCGCTGATCCACCCGCGCGAGGCCAACGAACACGATGGTAATGAGCCAGTCTATCTTGCTGACAAGCAAGCCCGCGGGGATCTGTTGAACACTGAGTTCCACGCAATCCAATCACCTGACATGCCCTCAACCGTTTTGCAATGTCCTGTCCCCTGCGAGCCTGCCGTAGAGAAAATACACTGTACGAACATGCCCGCAAGCGTTGCATCAGTCGGGGCTGCCCGAGCGCTACACCGGGGGAGTGTCGAGAACGCGGCGGTGGCACTCTGGGGGCCTCTGTTGCCCCGCGAAGCCGTCCCCTCGGGACAGAGGAGCTGGGAGAAGGAGGAGGAGGAGGAGGAGGAGGAGGAGGAGGAGGAGGCGGAGGAGGAGGAGGAGGCGGAGGAGGAGGAGGAAGAGGAGGCAGGAGGAGGAGGAAGAGGAGAGGAGGAGGAGGAGGAGGAGGAGGAGGGAGGGGAGAGGAGGAGGAGTTGGAGGAGGAGGAGGAGGAGGAGGAGAGGAGGAGGAGGAGGGGGAGGAGGAGGAGAAGGCGGAGGGGGGGAGGAGGAGGAGGAGGCGGCGGCGGCGGCGGCGGCGGCGGCGCGCGGCCGGAGCGTGTCCGGAGCGGCCTCTCTCACGCGCCCTGCCCCGGTGGCCACCCGCTCCAAACTCTGGGCGGGTGCCGGGCCGTGGCCCGCGGAGGAGGAGGAGGAGGAGGAGGGGAGAGGAGGAGGAGGAGGAGGAGGAGGAGGAGGAGGAGGAGTCGCTCTGCCAGTGCCGGCCCAGCGCGCTCCGGCCCGCCGGCGCGGCACGCCGTGCACGCGGTGGTCGCCGGGCGCTGGCGTCCCGAGCGGCTCCCCGCCGCCCGCCTCGCGCAGCAGAGCGGCGCGCGGTCCGCTTTCGGGGCGCGGCGTGTCGCCGGGGCCGCCGCCGCGGCAGGCTGGGCAAGAGTTCCCGGCCGTAGGCTTTCGGGCACGAGGATGGAGAGTGGGAGGAAGGGAAAGATGAGGATGGGGATGAGTATAAGGAGGAGGAGGAGGAGGAGGAGGAGGAGGAGGAGGAGGAGGAGGAGGAGGAGGAGGAGGAGGAGGAGGAGGAGGAGGAGGAGGAGGAGGAGGAGGAGGTTCAGGACGATGAGGAGGAGATGGAGTAGGAGGAGGGAAGTTGAGCTAGGAGGAGGATGAGGGGTAGTAGGAGGAGGAGGAGGAGGAGGAGGAGGTGAGGAGGAGGAGGGGAGGAGGAGGGGAGGAGGAGGAGGAGGAGGGAGGTGGAGAGAAGGGGAGGAGGAGGAGGAGGGGAGGAGGAGGCAGGAGGAGGTAGAGGAGGGGAGGAGGGAGGAGGTGTGGAGGTTGGAGGAGGAGGGGAGGGGGAGGGGAGAGGGGAGGGGAGGGGGAGGAAGAGGAGGAGGAGAGGAGGAGAGGGGAGGAGGAGGAGGAGGGAGGAGAGGTGGAGGAGGAGGAGGAGGAGGAGGAGGAGGAGGAGGAGGAGGAGGAGGAGGATGAGGGAGAGGAGGACGGAGGAGGAGGAGGAGGAGGAGGAGAGAGGAGGAGTGAGGAGGAGGGGTGGGGGGGGAGGGGGAGGGGGAGGGGAGGGGGAGGGGGAGGGGGAGGGGGAGGGGGAGCAGGAGGTGGAGGAGGTGGAGGAGGAGGGAGGAGGGAAGGAGGAGGGGAGGAGGTGGAGGAGGAGGAGGAGGAGGAGGAAGAGGAGGTGGAAGAGGAGGCGGCAGGAGGAGGAGGAGGAGGAGGGGAGGATGAGGAGGAGGAGGAGGAGGAGGACGAGGAGGTGGGGGGGGAAGAGGAGGAGGAGGGAGGAGGAGGAGGAGGAGGAGGAGGAGGAGGGGGGGAGGAGGAGGAGGAGGAGGACAAGGAGGGAGGAGTGAGGAGGAGGAGGAGGAGGAGGTAGGAGAAGGGGTAGGAGGAGGAGGAGGAGGAGGAGGAGGAGGAGGAGGAGGAGGAGGAGGAGGAGTCGAGGGTCTGATGCGGTTTCCGAGCGCAGTTGTGCTGAGATTCCCTCCCCCGGAGTCTGCCTGTCACTCTCTGCATGCCTCGTGGGTCTCTGCGCGCGTGTGGTGCACCCGTTGGGTGCCTGCCTTGCCGAGTCCACTCGGCTCTCTGCTCACAATCACCGAGCGCGTTCCACTACTCGCAAAGTGCCTACTCGCAAACGTCCGAACAACACATGTCTGCTTTGATGTAGCTTATCGTAGATCCTCCGCGGGGGATCCAGGCCATTTGCGAGTAGTCGCTTTGCGAGCAGTGGAACGCGCTCGCCTACACAAGGAACTTTCGAAGGTCCGCGCGGACTGCTCGGGTCTGCGCCGGGAGCCTCCAGGCGGCGCCTCTGGTGCCACCCCTGGCGCGCTCCGCGCGCCAGGGAGGGGTTCCCGCGCCGATCCAAGAAGTCCGCTCGAGAGTTTCCGTAGGTTCGCGTGGTGTCGACTGTTTATGACTGCAGGTGCGTTGCCTGTTGTGGCTATTTGGCCTCGCCTGCTGGCCCAAACGACGCCTTCCGCTCCCTGACCGCTGCCTCGGAGCCGCCGACCCAAAAAAAGTGGTGTCGACTGGCGGCGACCCCGCCGCTGGCGCTCAGAGTTGGACGCCGCTGGTGGCCCAGAGCCGGCCAGCATGGCACGACCCGGCGACCGGGAAGCCGCCTGTGGTGCAAGGCTCCACGGTCCACGCGGCGTCAGGCACCAGCGCCAGCGCCGTCACGACACGAACCTGCCGCACGTGGAAGCCGGTGCTTCTCCCTCCGATCGGCGTCACCCGGACATACTTGGACTACATGTGCGTCGCCCCCTCAGGGGCGACGCGCGCACCGAGAACTCTTGTAGTATATGCGTCGTGGCGGGCGCTTTCTGGCAACACCGCTCGGGAAACGAGATATACTACAAGACCGGTGTACGATATGCTCGGGTCGGACGCGCGCCTTCAAGGAGCGTATGAGCATGTCTCTGTGTGCCCCATCCAAGGACGGCGGGGGCGTGGATTAGCGACGGGTCCCGCTTCCATGGGAATCGCGGAGTTCCGCCCGCCGAGCGAGGCGGCACCGGCCGCATTTTGGGAAGGGCACCTCCCCCGATCCATGGATGTGGCGACCGCGCGCCAAAGCCATGGATCGCTAATCCATGTTCCCAAACCTTTGATTTTTTCATGACGTCGACCCCCACAGGCTTCGACCCATTCCCCAGGACCGGTTCTTCATCCCGAGTCGTTTTTTGACGGTCCCGAGGCCCGGCAAGGGCCCCCAGAGGCGGAAGATCGTGAAGAGCATCCCGTCGTGACTTTGTCATTGCTCGAGGGGGTCTGGGTGTGCGCGCCCCCGAGAGGACGGCGGGGGCTGGGTGTCCTACGGGTGGCGGAACAACCCCACCGACCCGGTGGGCTTCAAGATCGCGTTCATCGCAGGCGCTCCGCGGCGCGCCCGGGGAGGGTGGGGCGGGCGGCGGGGGGGGGGGCGGCTGCTCTGAGAGGGCCGGTGGGAGCGCAGGCGTTCTCCTTCAGGCAGGGGGAACAAGCACACAGAGGCACCAGGCATCGTCGACTCCCAGGAGAGTAGGGGGAAAACATGGGGAGGGGGGGGGGTAAGACAGAAAAACCCAGAAGGTACAAGGAAATATAAGAACGCATGGGTGTCTCTGTGTATTCTGTAGGGGTCCTAGCGGATTAAAGGGTTGGGTGAGGTGCGTGGCCGATTTCGGTGGCCGGGCCCGGGTGCCCGGGTGCCCGGGTGCCCGGCGGTGCCCAGGTGCCCGGGTGGCTTGTGAGGTGCGTGGCCGATTTCGGTGGCCGGGCCCGGGTGCCCGGGTGCCCGGGTGCCCGGGGGTGCCCGGGTGCCCCGGGGTGCCCGGGTGCCCGGGGGTGCCCAATAGCCCAATAGCCCAGTAACCCTATAACCCTATAGCCCTATAGCCGTATAGCCCTGTAACCCTGTAGCCCTATAACCTTATATCCCTATAGCCCTAACAGCCTTATATCCCTATAGGCCTATAGCCCCATAGCCCATATAGCTCTATAGCCCCATCAATCCTATAGCCCTATGGCCCTATAGGTCACAGTCCTATAGCCCTATAGCGCTATAGCCCGATAGCCCTAGAGCCCTATAGCCCGATAGCCCTATAGCCCTACAGCCCGATAGCCCTATAGCCCTATAAGGGAGCAGTTGGTAGATTAGAAACATCTGATTGTTTTTTTTCTCCGGGATCATTTATTTATGTGTCCCTGGGCCCCTCCACTTCTGCCTTCGTAGGAGCCCTCTCAGAGGGCTCCGGTCCCTCTGAGACGCAGCATGCCCCCACTCCTCGGCGCGCCGCCGGCCAGGCACGGAGAAGTTTGGGACCAAGTACTACTTGGGCGTGGGCTTCAATCACAACCACCCCGCGGTTGCCCCTGGGCCGCACTGCTCGACCTGCTCCATGACGAGCTCATACCAGTGCGCGATCCGCAACACCTACATGCTTACTGGGCACGTGCAGGCATTCCTTCTCACCGACGTGGAGCAGACTTCGGCATGGAATGCGCTGACGACCAGTCGCAACGACGACTTGGCCCTGGTACCCATGGACGGCAACGTGGAGGAAGCGGGATACAAGTTCGGCGATGTTGGCGACCCTCACGCCTTCTACCCCTTTGTCTACGACTTCAACGGCTCTTGCGTGGCGCATGCAGCGAACGGTGCGCTTGTCGGCAGAACACTGTGGGAGATCCTGGAGTATGCTTCCATGAACCAGGAATGTGATGACACCAGTCTCAACTGTAACATCACGGCTGTTGACGGGTGGCAGCTCAACGAAGATTTCAAGAGTGCAGCCGCGGGAGGCGGCGGCTGGGTGAAATACGCCTGGCGCAGCAGTGTCAGCGACCCCGCCTTCGAGAAGGTGGCCTACCTTATCAAGATCTCGAAGTACGGCCGCGACTTCTACGCCGGCGTGGGGTACAACAACGTGATATGGAACCCCGAGAGCGCGCAGAACTGCGATGCAGAATTTGCGGGTACGTGCTCGGAGGATGCCGTGCTGGCTATCGTGGGCCAGATGACGGCGGCCATCAACAACGCTCAGGACCCGGCCGATCTCGACATGATCTTCGCCGAGGCCACCAATGGCACAGGTGATGAGTACCGTCGCTCGGGCGGATTCGTGGTGGAGGTGTACGACGAGAGTGGTGTTTGCATGTCGAACGGTGGCTATCCCGAACACGTGGGGCTGACCTTGGAGGGCATCTTCCTGAAAGTCGGCTCCAAGCTCCTGGGTGCCGACCAGTACGCCAGCCAGTATCAGTCGAGCTCGGGCGCTTTCTTCACCTACAACTGGCAGACGGAGAACATGGCCGCGCCCTTGGTGCGAAAGGCCTTTGCCCAGAAGGCGACCTACAAGCCCCTGGGCAGCTACACGGAGGAGCATTATTACATCGTCAGCAGCTTCGTGGACGCCATCCCCCCCCCTCAGTGCACCAGCGACGCGGACTGCCCTCCCTCGGCCGCGTGCGCAGCAAACGGGCGCTGCCAGTGCCAGGCGGGCACGGTCGCGTCCTACAACGCCAGCGGCGCATGCGGAGCGGTGGATGGCTGCTCGTGCGAGACCCAGGACTCCACCGCCAGGGTACACCCACCCCTTGTCCACGGCTCCAGCGTCGGGCCCTGGGGACCTCGTCGATGGTCCCTATATGAGCGGCGGGTCTGGCTGTGCCTCTGAGGGCATGGGCATATCCACATCCTCAGATTTCCGACGTGTGGCATCGCGGTTCCCTGAAGGGCTGGACCTTCTCCCCGGGACCGGTTTTTCATGCCGACCCGTTCGCTGACGGTCCCAGGTTCCGGTGCCGGTGAGGAAAATCCTGCCGCCTAGGGCCTAGGGTTTTTTAATAATGAAAGAGGGTCTGGGTCCACCGCTCTCTTCAGATCTGGAGCATGACTCCATCAGTTTTGGGTGTCCTCGGGCGGCGCTGGAGATGGCATGTAGGTCATGTTCCCTTCCCCCCGTGTCCTTCGCGTTTGGTCCCTAACCTTGCTCTGTGGGTGCTTTCGGGCTCCTGTCGGGATCCTCAGTGAGCCTGGCGTAAGAGTACCCGTTCCCGCGGTGTTGCTCCTGTTCCACGGCTGAGCCGTCGGAACTGCAGCTGCAGCGGCTTCTTCACCCTTTTGCCAGCGCACCTCTGACGCGCACGGCTTTCTCCCCCCCGCGGGCGGTGCCAGGACTACTCTTTTTTTTGTTGGCGGCTCCCAGGCGAAGGTCAGGAAGCGGGGCATCGAACGGGGCGCGAAGCGAAGATAATTGGCCGCTGTGGCATATGCACATGCGAGGGACAAAATGACCCAAATTACTTAGACGCCAGCGGCGTCGGAAGGTGACCGGCACAGACATCCCAGCAGGTGGGGACGCCACGGCGCGGCTACCGGCGGCGGAACGGGAGGAAGTCGCCCTTTCGGCGCCAAGCTCCAACACCCCGCCAGGACTACTCGATGACCTGCGACGTCAACCCCTGCCCCGTCGGCACGTTCGGCACCGCGTCGGGCGCGTGCCAGGCCTGCGACCCTGGCAAGTACGCCGACTCCGTGGCGTCCAGCGAGTGCAGCGCGTGCGCCCCCGGGAAGTACCAGGACGTCGGGGGTCGGCCAGCGGGCAACGAGTCGGCGGCTGCAAAGGGTGTGGTTACGCCGGGGTGTGGTCTGCGATCGGCACCGTCGGGGCCTGGGGGGCACGACACTGTCCTCGTCGGGCTTCCTCGGGGCGCGGCGGAGGGCTCTGTCGAGGTCCTCGCCCGCCCCCCAGGGTGCCCCTCAGGGTGCCGGTTGCAACCACACCCTTTGCAAACCACACCCTTCGGAGTCGCCGCACGAGATTCAGCGCAAGCGGGGCTCGGCCAGAGACTCGGGAGGGGAAGGCTCACACAGGCACAAGTCATCGTCGCCTCCCGAGAAGGCGTGGAAAGATATGGGAAGAGGGGGGGAGAAGGTATGGACAAACATGGGAGAATATTGAAAAATATGGGAAGTATGGAAGGATATGGGATATGGAAAAATATGGGAAAGTGTGGGGACGTCAGGGAAATACTGGGATTTGTGTGTATCGATTGGTGTGCCCATGGCCTTCTCTGCAGAGCGCCGGATCCTGCGGGATCCTGCGCTGCCGGATTCTGGTGGAGCCAGGCGCGGGGGGGCGCTGCTTGCGGCCCTGTGAAGGTGGCCCTACATTTGAGTCGGGCCTGTCCCTCGACAGGAGGAACGTTCAAAATAGGAACAAAAATTGTCTTGGGACGATTTTTGGACTATTTTTGAATATTTTAGGGCATTTTGGGGCTGTTTTCGATTTGTCTGCTAAAATCGGCCTGTGGTGGGACAGGCCCGACTTAACCCTACATATACTGGCCGAGCCGAGCTGGGAAGCCCCCCGAAGCAGTGCAGGGCAGTGTTCTCTCCATTGGCTCCGCTGGCCCCCATACAGTGGGGGCGCGCATCAAGAAACCATACATCCGGGCCGCTGAAGAAGGAACCCTTTTCGTTGGGGAGGGGCTCAGCGTTCCTTATTATTTTGCAGTTTGTCCCAGGTTGTCCTTGAGGTTTTCCACGGGCATCGAAGCTTAACTCATGAAAGAAAAGGGGCCTCGTTCCTTATTAATGGTTCCTTATGACAGCGTTTCGACTGTACCATCTGCTTTTCGTCAGGTTATACCCTGGGTTTCGTGGTTTCGTCGCTTCTCGCGCTGGGCGGTGACTTCCGCAGCCGTTGACGGAGCTGCTGCGTTCGGGGTGCTCCAGGTTTCCCTGCAGGTGCACGGCGCGCACGGGTGCTCAGGGTTGGGTTCCTTGCGAGGGTTTCTTGCAGCCGCGCCCGCACTGTCATGGCGAATTCGTCAAGGGTGGCGCCGGCGTTGGCCGGGTCAGAGCCTCGGGGATGCACAGGAGGATTTCCTGGAATGCCTCTCAGGGGCCTCTTGGAGGGCTCTCTTTCAGGAGGGGAAAAAACACACAGACACAATTAATCGGCGATTCCCAGAAAATATGGGAAAATATGGGAAGTGGGGGGGAAGACAGAAACCCAGAAAATACAGGAAAATATGGGGGATATTTTTATTTGTGTGTATTTATTTGTGTGTTCCAGTTCCCCTTCACTCTTAGGGGCATCCGATTAACTTTTTTTGGAAGCATTTTGGGGCCCTTTTGGGGACGCCTCGGGGGTCACAGGGGGGTTCGTGGGGCCACGACGGCGCGAAAGACACGAGATGCCAGTTCGTATTGCCCCTCTTGGGGCCCCTCCTGAGCCTTCTTCCTCTTGGGGCTCTATTTGGCCGCTTTGAGAGGCCCTCTTGGAACGATCCTGGGGCTCATTGGACCGTAGTGGGCACTGTCCAGACGAAAACGACTTGTGTGTGGCGAACATGTACGTTTTCTCCCTCAGGGAATCTGACGATTTTTGCCTCTTGGGGCCCTCTCCGCGGCCTTCTGGGAGCACACCTGGGCCGTCTTGGGGGCCTCGGAGGCCGTCTTGACGCCATCTTGGACCGTCGCAGGGTTACCTTGGGCCGTCTTCTCGGATTGTCTCGGCGCTCATTCGGCCGTCTTGGGGCTCGCTGGAGGCTCTGGAGAGCCCAAGGGGAGCTCGTACCCCTCCCATTCTCCGGGCCCCCCCCTCCTCGAATGCGATTTTTGGCCCCAGGGGAGTGCGAGTGCGAGTGCGAGGAGGAGGAGGAGGAGGAGGAGGAGGAGGAGGAGGAGGAGGAGGAGGAGGAGGAGGAGGGAGGAGGAGGTTGCCGCAGACAGAGCCCGCCCCTCCGCCACAATCAGATTTCTCCGACCTCGGATCCCGGTGGAGTTCTCCGCCCCACTTCTCGAGCTTCCTTGCTGTTGAGTTCCGCCGTGCTTTGCCATCGCTGTTTCCGCTTCATGTCTGCGCGACTATCCTCCCTGCTTTACCCGATGCGGAAATGTCCACCCGACTTTTTTCGCACCGTTTGGGATGTACTTCCGACGCAGCTGTAATGCGGAAGATCGGCCAGAGTACGGCGGGTCTTGAGTCAGGGCAAGGCGACCCCAGATTTCACAGGGAGGTGCAGGTGGCTTCCAGAGCCTCCCCCAAGGGGCCGCAGGGGCCCCAGAGGCCCCGAAAGTGGCGCAGAACAGCTGTGAGCACCGCGGGTCACGGGACCACTTCTAGCAGCAGCTCCGCTTGAGCAACCGGCCGCGGGGAGAGAGCTGGTCGGGAAGGGGGCTCGAGAGCTGCGGGACCCGGCGACTCGAGCAGTCGACGGCCGAGGAGGATGGACCCGTCTCTCCGTGCCCTATCCCCGCCTTGCTCTTCCGACTTGTGCGAGCGCTGAGATCGGGCGGCCGGCCCCGTGCCTTCGGGCGGCTCTGTCGGAGAAGCAGCCACGGCACGGCGGCTCCGAAGTTGGGCCGTGGTCGGCGCCCTGGCGCCCAAACCCCGGACGTTGTGATTCCGTCACACCGTCGACCCCCGGAGGTCTCGACTCCTTCCCCGGGGCCAAGCTGCTCGCCCAGAGGCGTTCTTGACGGCCCCGAGGCCCGCGAGCCCCGGAGGCCGGAGCAAAGGCAGCAGAAGCCTCCCGCCCTGATCGCACTGCCCGAGGGGGCCTGGGCGCAACGCTCCCCCTCCCCCAGAGGACGAGTACGGCCAGACCGCCTGCTTCAACTGCTCGGCCGGCAGCGCAGTCAACGCCGGCGGGAGCCCGGCCGCGCGTATCAAAGTGACCCTTCGCCGGAGTGACCTCTTGAGATCTCCGACGTGCTGCCTTACGGCCGCTGCCGCCGACACGACGACGAAGGCAACGACGACGACAGCGATGGCGACGTCGACGGCGATGCTGACGCTCTGAAGCCGATAGCGTCTCCGAGGGAGGGGTGCCCCCCCCTCGGGGGGGGGTCACAATTCCTGGGGGTCATAGCCGGCTCAAAATCAAAAGAGGCATCATAGCTTCATCAGTCTAGATTGATCCACTCACGGATCCACTGCAATTGATTTCCATTGAATTCATTCCATGCGTAGCATGCTCTCCCCCCTCCAGGACCCCCCCCCAGCGGGGGATGGAACAAAGGGAATGGGCCCGTCCTCAGAGAGACCTCTTCAGACTTCCGAAGCACGTGAACAAAGCAAGACGGCGGGCCTGCGTCGTGGTCGGTGTCTGGGGCCCTCGCTGGAACACCTGGTCTTCGGGATTCGGGAGGTGCCTCGGAGCTCTGGGGATCCCGTGCTGCGGAAAAAGCCAGGGCATCGGAGGTCGGGGGGCTCCACGAGGTGTGGCACCCCGGCGGCGCTCTTCCACGCCGGCTCCCGAGGCCCCGCACGAGGGCCCCGAGGCGAGCACGAAGGGGGCCCGAGCGGAGCGGTTACCATCCAGGGGGACAGCCTGTGGGACGTCTGGGCGCCGCGCCTCCCCAGACCCCCGACGTCATGATTTTTTCATGACGCGACCCCCAAAGGTCCCGACCCCTTCCCTGGGACCGGTTTTTCGTCCTGAATCGTTTTTTGACGGTCCCGAGGCCCGCCGAGGGCCCCCGGATGCCGAAAATGGCGAAAAACCTCCCGTCGTGTTTTTTTCACGACGCGAGGAGGTCTGGGTCGCGAGCTCACCTGGCCGGCTGCCGGCGCGCGGCGCGGGCCCGCGGGGTGCCCCCCCGGCCGCTGGCAGAGGCGCCCCGTTGTCCTCGGGGCCCCTCGGCCGCGGCGTGCCGAGGCCGCTCTCCCGCCGACCGCGGGGCACGCCAGAGATCGGCACCCGCGCCTGCCAGCGGGCACCCCGCGGAGGCCCCCCTCGAAGAAGCACAGCGGCGCAAGCACGAGATGCCTTAGATCGGCGCCGGATCTTTTAGTGGGCCCTGGAAACGACAGGGCCGTTTTTTTTACCGGTTCCGTCGCCGTTTTTGGACCGGCTCCGGCTCCGGCTCCAATCCTGGAGCCGTTTTTTTGCCGTTTCCGGTCGCCGTTTTTTTTTTTGCCGTTTCCATGTTCAAGGGACATTTTTCTGGAAACGGTGAAAAAACGGCCCTGCCGTTTCCGGGGCCCACAAAGCGCCGGATCCCCGGAGGTCCGGCGCCGATCTGAGAGTCCCCATCTGCGCATGCGCCCCGCTGCCGGAGGCACGCGGGGGAGCCCTTCAGCGCAGGCACCCCTTGCATCCGCAGCGCAGCGCATCAGATCCTCTCGGAGGTCGCACGGATTTCTTAGATGGGCGCCGGATCCCCCAGCGGCGCCTCCCGCGCCGCCCATGGCGCGCTCCGCGCGCCAGGGAGGGGGGCGTCGGCGCAGACGCAAGACATCCGTGCGGGCCTCCGATGAAGTATGTTTATGCGATTTGCCGTTCCTTTGTTCCTGCCCCCAAGACGCACCGGGTCATCGTGGGGATGTTAAGAGTGCACGGCGAGAGTGCCCCCCAGCTTAGAAATAATACAAATAATATAAGCTATTCTCTCTCTCTATATATATAATCGTTTTTCTTTCGGAGGAAAACCACAGCACCAACATACGTTTTCGGAGGTCGGTGCGGATCTGCTGGATCTGCGCTGGACCCCCTGGCGGCGGCGCCGCGCCGCTCCCTGGCGCGCGCCCCGCGCGCCAGGGAGGGGTGTCTGGCGCCGATCCTCTCTAAGGGCTCTTATTTCTTTTCCAACGGGGCTCACTCGGGGTTCTGATGTCCTGTCCAAGGAGCTGGGCCTGTCCGTCGGTCTGGCGGCCATGTGGTCGCTGTCGCCGCCCAGTAACTCTGGGCCTGCCCGTCGGTCTGGAGGCTATGTGGTCGCCGCTGTCGTCTCGTCGCCGTCTGGTCCTATGTTGCTTTACATTGTGTCGCTCCCCGTTGATCTTAATTGCTTCCTTCGTGTTGCTCTGTGCTGCTTCATATTGATGTGACTCGCCCTGCGTCGCTTTTTGCGTCGCTCTGCGCTGCTTTGCGCGGCTCTGCGCTGCTCTGCGTGGCACTGCGCTGCACTGCGCGGCACTGCCTTGCGCTGCTTCTCACTGCGCTGTGCTGCTTCGCAGCGCTTCGCATCTCCCAAGTGGTGCTTGCACTCATTGTTTTGTTTGCTTATGTAATAAATGTATATGTTTCCTGCTCGAAAAGGAGCTGCAGCTGCGGACCGCTCTGGCCGCCACGTGGCCGCCTCGTCGCCGCCTCGTCGCCGCCCGCTTCGCACTGCTCGGCACTGCGCTTTGCATTGCTCTGCACTGCGTGGCATCTCCGTGGTGCTGCGTGGCGGTGCATTGCTTCGTGATGCTCTGCACTACTCCGCATGGCTTCGCGCTGCTTCGTGTTGCTTTGCGCTGCTGTGCGCTGCTTGGCATCGCCCTGCATTGCTCTGCGTTGCTCTGCATTGATGTGCACAGCTTTACACCACTTCGTGTTGCTTTGCGTTGCTTTGCATTACTGTGCGTTGCTGTGCGTTCCTCTGCATTGGTTTGCATTGCTTTGCATTGCTTTGCATTGCTTTGCATGGCTCTTCATCGCTTTGCATTGCTACGATTTGCTGTGCGTTGCTGTGCGTTGCTTTGCGCTACATAGGTTGCACCACATAGGGCGCACCACCTAGATGTCACCACAATGATTGCACCACCTAGACTACGCCTTACATATTGCAAGAGCTCACTGCTTGGCCTGCACGCTGGCAAACATATGTTTAAATGGTTTTGATCCTTTTACGGTAGGAGCGTTCGCTAAGGAATGTACACATGAGGTTTCAGACCCTGGAGGATTCTTTATCTGACGAGGGCGGCGGTGATATCAATGTCCAACTTGCGGTTGGAGTTCCACCAGTTTCCAGACTCCAGACCCTGGATTCCTCATCAAATGTTTTCTTATCCAATGCCCTCACCGTATTTGTTGGGATTCGGCCTTTTTTGTTCTCTCTTAGCGCATGTTTCTGTCACCGCATGGACCTGCTACAGTCAACCCGCATAGCAGGGACGAGCAGCTTTCCGAGGCCACCCTCGCATCCTTGCCCCTTCGGCCCATCCCTGGCAGCCCTCGCTGGCCGCGCCCCAGTCGCGAAACGGCAGCGTGGCCTTCCGAGGCCCTTGCGTCCTTGCCCGTGCATCCCTCTTACACGGGTGGGCTGCACTGTACACCCCAGGCGATGCTTAAGAAAAGTTAGGTTTTCGGCCAGAGCCTCGATGATTCTTAATGTTTCAGTGTGAATCCTAAGATTTTGCTGTACGTTCTAGGTTTTTATTCAAATTCTGAGACTCTGAATTTCTGAACCCATGATTTCTGAAGCATTTCGCAGGGTGTAGGCTCGCAGCTTGCGTGCAGCCGAGGAGCACGGGGTGCGACGCCTGCGTGGAGGGCTGGTTCCAGGCCGGGGCAGGCGCCTCGCTCTGCGAGAAGTGCCCGCTCGGCTCCTTCTCCAACGACACCATTCGGGGGCTGCCTGAAGGTGCTCTTTGCCCAGGGTGCCGCCCTGGACGCGCTCGCGTCGTGCACCCAAAAACACGACGGGCAGTCTTGGGCGGGGGCCGCGTGTTGAAAGCCTGAAAGACATCACGTGTCTGAGCCCAGTTTTCCGCTCCAGCTTGGAGCCCCTGGGGCCGTCTGGGCCTGGTGAGGGCTGCTCGTGGAGCTGTGGAGGCCTCCTCGGAAATCCTGGGGGCACCTTGGGCCAGTGGCACTTCAGCAGCACCCGAGCCATGAACACGGAGTGCACCAGCTGCCCCGACCCCCGCGAGACCACCGTGGACCCCAAGGGAGGAGAAGGTGCCGATGCCGACGCCCCCTCCGTCGCTTTTGCCCCCCTGGGCCTCCCATTGGGGGGGGAGGGCCGTCGCTGCCACGGCCGGATCCGCCCCGGGACGTTGGCCAGGGCGCCCCCCTGGAGAGGCTTGCGGAACAGCGGAGGCGGTTCGTGTTTGCCGGCGGCGACCCTGCCAGCGGCGTTCAACGCTGAACGCCGCGGGCGACCCAGAGTCGTTCGATGTGGAACGATTAGGAGGAGGAGGAGGAGGAGGAGGAGGAGGAGGAGGAGGAGGAGGAGGAGGAGGAGGAGGTCGGAAACGGCCGATCGTTCCAGGTTGAAGGATCCCCGCGGTGTCAGCAGCCAAGGCCGACGTCGGCACGTGACGAACCTGACGTATACCTTGCTGTCCCTGGCAGCCGCTGCTCCGCTGTTGCAAGCGCGCGGCCCCAGCGGCCCGAAGGTCCCGACCGCTTCCTCAGAGCTGGCTTTTCTTTTTCTTGGTCGCGGCCACGAGACAAGGGTCCGGCGGCAAAGGCAGCGTCCGGGCCACGAACGAGGCTCATTGGCTAGGACAGGCGCGCCGGCCGGCCCAGAGCTGGCTTTTCGCCTTGGGTCCACTCCTGATGGGCCCAGGGCCAGGGCACGGGTCCCGGAGCCCGACGTGCACGGAGAGCGCCCGGCTGGAAGCACAACTCCGGTCTGACCTTTTTGGCGTTCCCCCAGGACCGCGCCGCGCTCTCGCAGTGGGAGTGCGTGTGCGAGGCGGGGTCGTACCGCGCCGCGGGGCACTCCGCCGCGGGCGGCGTGCACCGGCCGTGCCTGCAGTGCCCCGAGGGTATGGAGTGCAGCGAGGGCAACCAGGAGCCGGTCTTGCTGAGGGGCTTCTGGGCGGACGCGGGAGACTCCACCGACCGGGACTACTCTGTCTTCCGGTGCCGCGACGGACTGGAGTGCCCAGGAGTGGGGTTTGCCAGATGTGCTCCTGGGCCAGAGGAGGAGGCGGAGGAGGAGGAGGAGGAGGAGGAGGAGGACCAGGGTAGGGTATGAGCAAGAGCAGTAGTCAGGGTAATAATATTAGCAGCGGCAGCAGCAGCAGCAGCTACCTTTGCTGTTGAGTTCTCACTCGTAGAGATCTATGTTAGCCAGCGTCGACCCCGAGTAGTGTGTGTGTGTGTGTGTTTTCTAGCAATACACATCCCCAGGCTGAAAGTGTTTTCCTCTTGGAGTAAAACGTACAGCAAAAAACAATTTATCATTTTCGATCCTTGTTCGGGTGTGCAGAAGTCTCGTGAATCCTATTTCTGCCTTTGGTAGATCCTATTTCCAGTATGAGATGAACAAGTGGACCCTTTCATTGTGGGGAATAAATATAAGATTGAAAGTAAGCCCCTGGGCCCAGGGGATATGGGATCCACGGTGCACTGCGCGTGAAGCATAATGCTATGATTATACAGGGATGGCGTTTCCTCCTCCTCTTCCTCCTCCTCTTCCTCCTCGTCGTCGTCGTCGTCGTGGTCGTGGGGGTTGTCGTCGTCGTCGTCGTCGTCGTCGTCGAGCGCCACTGCGGGCTCTCGCCCACTCCCACAACACCCTCATGGCAAAGGAATGGAAGGCTTGATTGTCATTGCGGGCCCCGCCCACTCCCATAACTCCACCCACATCATTGGGTAGCTCGAGCGTCACAGCGGGCGCCCGTCCACTCATGCCCCCCCATAAACAGTCTGCGGGCACCCGCGTGGCCTGTTGAGCTCAGGAGGATAACTTTTCGGCCTGCGGTAATCCGTAATTTGATTTCAAACTTCGTCTCTCCCCACCAACACCTTGCTCTTTTGTCCCCTGTTTCTGGCATCGGCCACCCAGCTCAGGCCTTCAAGCGGACGGGTGACGAGGCGTGGTATGTGCATACACGTGTGCACGTGCGCGCGTGTGTGCGCGCGCAGGGCGCGCGTGGTGGCGTCACCATCCTTCGCCCCACCGCGCTCCCAGCAAAGGCAGGTACGCGACTCGCACGGCGTTTGATTTCATTAGCTTGAATTTCGTTGCAAGGAACAGAGCGGCGAGCGCCGGGGATAGTGGAAAACTACGCGTGCTGTATGGTGAACGTTCTGCCACCGCCACCCCTGCGCACTGGTGCGAGTGGGTTGCGAATTCCTTGGTTCCCAGGCCGAACGTTTTTCCCCTTGGAACAACACGTGTAAAATAGAGCTTGATCCAAGTCGATCTTGTTGTCGAGATTGCGAAAGTCTCGTGGGTTCTATTTTTGTTTTGGCGGATCCAATTTCCAGTGCACTCCCAAGGGGGCCGCCAGGGGGTACCTCACTCCTCCGTTCGCGCCCAAATCGCAGTGATGTCCCGAGCGGTTTGCTTGTTTGCGTGCTCAACATCTTCCGCAGCCGGAACAGATTCTGAGCATGTCTTGGGCGAGGCGTTGGTTTTCGCCCCCAAGGGGGGCCGCCATGGGGGTATCTCATTCCTCCGTTCGCGCCCAGACTGCGAGGATCTCTCTAGCGCTTTGCTCGTTTGCGTGCTCTCAGCGTTCTTCGCTGGAGGGGCAGATTCTGAGGATGTCTCGGGTGAGGCGCTGGTTTTCGCGCCACACGGGGCCCAGGTTGCGAGGATGCCTCGAGAGGTTTGCCTGTTCTCGTGGTGGGATCCGTCTGCTTTCCGAGCGGGCGGGGACAGGGGTGGTTCAGGCGCAGGGGGTCCTTGGGACTTCTGAGGCGTTCGGCAGGCTGCGCCCTGCGCCCTGCCGTTGGATTCGCTTAGGAGGAGGGGGGGGGGAGGAGGAGGAGGAGGAGGAGGAGGAGGAGGAGGAGGAGGAGGAGGAGGAGGAGGAGGAGGCGGAGGAGGAGGAGGAGGAGGAGGAGGAGGAGGAGGAGGAGCAGGAGTTACTCATTCTAATGGTCACACTCAGGGTCGCACTCGCGGTGGCCCAGGTCCAGCCATTCCGTGGGACCGTCTGGGCCAGCCAACGAAACGCGCAAGGGTTTCGCACGACTTTTGCATGAGCACCCCTGTTCCTTGCTTCAGTATGGAGGGAGGGATCGCGTAGCCATTTCGATTCAATCCCGCTTAGTCATGCCCAGGCCAGCGACGTGGTGATACACTCGTCCTAAACTTAGACATGCTCAGACTCATGCGCATCGACTATTGGCACTCATTTACTATTGGCACTCATTTACACCAGCTAATGTACTGTTCTATGGATTTTCAGTCTGTGGATATACAGACCCATGTAGATTAAGAGTCTCTTGCGCCTAGACGCTCATGGCGGAAAGGCCCATGAACATACATGCACATATTTGGAGTTCCACGCATTGGGTAATTTCAAATCGCGGTCCTCAGAAGTCCCGTTCCTTTCTCCAGGGCCAGTCTTTCGTCCCGAGTAGTTACGGTCCCAGGGTCGGGCGATGGCCCCTGGAGGCCGAAAATGATGAAACACCTTCGCTTTGACTTCTCTAATCTGTTGAAGGCCCGGTCTTTGCAGCATCCGACAGGGGGTCCCATGGGGACGTGCGCCAGAGGCCGCGAGGGAATCGGATGCGCCAACTGCCTGCCCAACCACCAGATAGACAAGGTCACTGGTGGGTGCGACGAGTGTACGGGCTCCTCGCTGGTCCCGATCCTGTTCATCACCGCCGTCGGGCTCGCTGGTCTCGTTGCGATGGCCTTGTACGCCAAGGTCTCGAGGGAGAAACCTGTGTATCAGCGTCAGCTCTCGGAGCTCCGCGTGGACCTCCGAAAACTGACGTTCACGGTCAAGACGCCGAAACCAGGGCCGCCCCGGGCTCGGGAGGGGCTCCGGTTTGCGGGCCGCTCTTCGGACCTAAGGTCGGGGAACCCATTTCGTGTCCGAGAGACCTGCCGCGGCCAGGGGGGGCCCCTCCGCCCTCGGTCTTGCTGCCCCCGCGGCGGCACGGGGAGCGGGCCCCACGGGCCCCCGACGCCGCGGGCTCTGCGTCGCGCGGGCCCCCTGGGAGGTCTCGGCCCCACTCTCCGGGAGCAGCTGCTCCTCCCGCGAGGGCCTCGTGGCGGTTCCGGGGGGCCCCGCGGGGGTCCTCCCCAGACGGCCGCCGGCTCGAGCAGGGGGCTGCCGCCGTGCCTCGGCGGGGGCGTCTGGGCCAAGCTGTGTCCCTGTGGTCGCACGATGCCGGTGCGCCGTCCTCTGGGGCTCAAGAGTCGGGGAGGAAGCAAGGACAGACACGGAGGACGCAAAAACAAAGACACATCTAGACACAAGGAGTCGGTCGATTCCCAGGAAGACAATGCGAACAGCTGGGAAGTGGGGGGGGGGAAGACAGAACCCCAGAAGATGTGGGAAACCATAGGGGATCCTGTTATCCGTGTGCATTCGTTCGTGCGCCCCTGGGCCCCCTTCGGCAGAGGTCGACGTGTCCAGGATCAACCTCAACACTCTGGCGGTGGGCATCTGCATCGGGCAGACGGCGGTGGCGGTGCAGGCCCTCTCGGTGTTCCGGGTCCTCGAGGTGAATTGGGTCGA